CGCTCTTCCCTTTTGAATCATTTATGTTCAATCTCTCTGCCACTGTGCTGCTTCCCTCATTGCTCTCCGGGCTCTGTTGTTGCCTTTCAGCCTCGATGCCTGGCTCTTTGCCTTCCTTTATTGCCAGTCCTCAGCTTTTGGTTCAACTGCATTTGGCCTCCACTTGGACAACCCAGCTGACTTTGCTGAATTTTGCCTCATCCACCTCCATGTTAAAAGTGCAGCCCTAGGAAAACTCCCGCCCTCATTGCAAAGATAACCCTAATCTGCCTGGACTAACAAAGTGGGAAAACACATTCACTCCACTAACCTCATCACACCTCTGAGTTTCTCCTCTCTATAAACCTGTTTGTTAAACTCACTTATGTAATTGTTGTATCCCAGTCCTGCAGTGAATGTCATGCCAGGAGTCTGCAGACAGCTCTACTTAACACAGCTGTGGGAATGCACCCATTTTGAAACACTTTGCTTTTTATTCTTGAGATTAATATGTCTGGGATGCTCATCCCCAAGTACTGGTAATGCAAATCAAGGGAAACACTTTCAATGTATTATTAAAATGAAAAGAAACTTATTCCCCACTTTCTCCTTCCCACTAGAAAACAGGGATACCGTTTCATGATTTTAGCATGAGTCTTGCAGTATTTCTTGTCTTTACTTCTTGTTCTTATTCAGAACTCAATTTTTGTGTCCATTTTCCATGACCAGAATCCACTCTAAACTGGGCAAGTATTTAAAGGGAAGGTTTTGGCATATTCCATACTGATTTTATTTTTACTGCAATAACCAAATAAATGCAGCTATGTTAATATAAAAGAAATGTTCACTTAATATTTTGCTTTACTTAGAAGAACATTTAAGAAGAAAGATGGAAATGTAAGAAGAAAGATGAAAATGTAAGAAGAAAGAGAAGGTCTGGAGAGGAAGAATAGCTTGAGAGCCTACCAAAACTTTGATTATATAGTATAATGAAAAGTTAGGTTATCAAAATGAAGATTTTTATGGAAGAAACTGAATCATACTCACATTACATCAAACTTCCACAGCCATTAAATCCAAGAATCTGCATGGTTTGTGTAACTATTCAAGCAACACAACCGCCTTAAGTACAGAAATACAATTACTGCCTTATTTTTCATGGCAAAAGGGAGGTGAAGGTCGGAAGTTGACACAGCCAAGAAAACTGAACTCTCCCATTAAAGCCATATTATACACTGAAACTTAGAATGGCTTGTTAAAGAAACAGAAATGTCTGTACCAGTTCCTAAACTAATAACTATAACACAACGCTTTGTGAAAATTTTCCTATTGCCAGATAACATCTCCTCCACATTGCTGTGTACACAGCAGAGAAACGGAGATTTTTTTTTTAATCAAATTTCAAAAGGAATTATCATTCTCACAATGACTTAGTACCATTTTGTTGGTATTTTGGTAGGTTGGTTTTGATTTGGTATTTATGGGTTGAAGGGAACTAAGGCAAGAAATCTCAATGTTTTATACGGAAACAAACCAAAAAAGGACTTTAAATCATCCTGTAAAAAACTAAGAATTTTCAGTCAGAACACGTAAATACAGACTTTTCATTTGAAATTTTTGAGTGAAAGAAACCAATAACCTGCTCAGCTAGCTCTAACAGTAACCACTTTGTGATATAAAAATGAAAATAAAAACTGTTTTACTTGTCCATATGTCAGAATCTCTCCTCTATTAATAGGGTCCTATTAACTTACTCTAAAGAGAAGAGTATCACGTATGGAGAAATACTCTTATTTCTTATGGAGAAATATTTTATCAAAATGTTTGTACTAGTAATGTAATAATCATTTAATCAGCTTTGAAATAGATGAGACTAATGTCTTCTCATTGCTTGATGATTTTCATTTTTGTTGTAACATTCTGAGTTCTAGGTTCCTCCCTAGCCACTCACTAGACACAGCTGTCAGTCTTAACAGTAGAAAACAAAAGTGGAGTTTATGCATCAATTTTAGCTTTTCAGTACATAAATTACTGTCCCTTGGAAAAGTCAATAGGGAAAGCTAGATGGATGAACGAGTAGACACAACTGGTTTTGCACCTCTTGATGAAATCTGGCTTGTACGCCTCATTTCCTATCACAGCCAAGTCTTAGCAATATGTTAACTTGCAGTAGTGACTCAGCAATCTTACGTTAAGATTTTATAGACCTAAGAAAACCCAGCATTTAGCATAATTTTTCTCTGGAATTTCCAGGCCAGTTAATCTTTGCTTGATGTGAGTCATCATCACTGCCTTAAAATCAATTGTACTGCAATAATTTATCATTTCTTAAGATCTAGCTGACTTCCTTTTATTTTTTGACCCATTCTTGTTGAAATCAAAACCAAAATTCCTTATGAACTCTTCCTGTATTTCTCTTTTTCCCATCACTAAGGAGAAATGGTAGGATGAGAAGTTTTCAGTCATGGTTTAGACTTGTAGATTAAGAAATTAGAAGTGTTCAAAAGGGCCAAGACATTTACATGGGTAATGAAGAAATTCATTGTTAGCTTACAGATGGTATGGAAATACATCTATAATGATTACACATATATGCATAACATTATAAAACAACATGTATATCATCTATATATAACGTATATGATATGCCTGTGTTTTCTTTCTCCCTATGCCCATCTCTTTCTTTATACATGTATGGTATGTCTGCATTTGAATATATAGAGAAGATATATGAATATATATAGAAATACACAGACATATTTGCTTAAAGAGTTTCAAGTCCTGTGTTAAACCGAAAAGAGCTGGATGGGGTATTTCCTAAATTTTGGGAGTGGATTTTCTTGCAGTTTTCCCCAAAACATTTTCTATTGAAGACTGTCACAACACAGATATTTTAACAGATGGCTTGTCAGTCTGGAGAGAGAATTAACTGGTGTGCCTTCTTTGGCTTTGTCTATGCTAAGGGAAAAAGATTTTAGCTTTTACCTTGAATTGCTTTACTAAAAGTAGCCTAATGATTTAAAATATATCACACCCCATTAACTACACTGTTTTTGTTTTACTGGATAGTTAGAGTCAAGAGCATGAGTTCCAAGCCCCCATGGCAGGGGCGTTGGAACTAGATGATCTTTAAGGTCCATTCTAACCCACACCATTCTATGATTCTATGAATTAAGAATTGACCCACTTAATTATAGTGAAAAGCCAGCCTGTGCTCGGGACCTGCGCAGACTAGAGATAACTTCACTGCACCAATATGAGTGATTGAAAGCCTTTTTGCACCACGCTAGCTTTTACCTGTCAGTAGTTGTTCATATATCTCAAACATGCAGGCTATTAAGTTTCAGTGCTCCAATTATGAAATTTATGCAGAGAACTGCAAGCAAGCCCATAGAAATGTCCCTCTTTCACTCACTGTCTCCCACTCCTAGCTTTCCTTTCTCAAGGGATCACTAGCTTGGAAGCGATCTGAAAACCCAGGAAATTTTCACTCTCAGCAGGCCAGAGCACAGATAAGCACTTGCACAGGCGTTACTCTTGGACTTGCTTTTTTCATTCCTACTGGTGGGGGCCACCCATTCCAGGATGGAACAAGGGTAGATCTGGATTCCGTCCCCATCCTCAGTCATACGCACACACTTTTGTTGATATCTACACTTTCTAGACTATATGCAGATTTCTTCCACATGGGTATCTGAGGATCCTTGGACTACCACAGGCCCACATGAGGAAACTAGGAGGAACAAGACTGTTGTCAGTAGACTTCAATTCACAAGCTACTCGTGATTTTGAGGGATTCAGAAATAAAAAAAAGGGTTGATAAGCACTGTCCTACACTTTCCACTTTCTGAGGGGATTTGGTTTCATTAGCACCATAAAAAATAAAACCCCTAACCTTTCTCACTACACTCAGCTATTTCAAGGCTTTCCCTGAAACATTTCTTCATACTATTAGTCCAAATTCCCTCTCCTAGATAGTGACTCACACTCTTCTTCTGAACATGCCATGACGAGCCAGGGGAGTCAGTGTGTGTCCCTGCTGGGTTCTGATCATTGCCGACAGCAGAGGTAAACAGAACAATCGCATGCCAACAGTCATGGGTTGGCCATAACAAAAGTCTAGTATCTGATGTGTTTTTCAAAATCATGTGTTTAATGTGGACTGACTCTGGCCGTGTGTCAGTTCAGGCAAATCTGAGTTGTGATGGAACAAACTCCTTGGAGTACAACATCAACTGCTTGATGAGTCCCACCATCATAAGGAACACCCTATGCCCCAGCACCAGTCTGGCGCTACAGACCACTTTGCAGGACTAAAGACTGAGACAACTTGCAGGGTGCAGATTTTACTTCACTATATGCAATAGTCATCCCAGCAGGAGAGCCTGAAACAGCATCTAATTAGCCGTTTTCCAAATCTAACACCCTGAAAGCTCATTTCACATTGTTGCAATTGAAAAAGATTTATTTATTC